TATCCTGTGAAATACATGTATAAAAAAAGACTTGGAGTTAAAAGATCAACCACTACATTTTATGTGTCACTGGTCTTTTAGCTTTTGTTGAAAAAATGCTGGTTTGTTCCCTTTCCTCCCCCATATTCCAAGAAAACACAGAAATGGTGATTACAGTTGAAACAGGTAAGTGAAAGCTATCAAAATTATAAGAGAAAAAAATCATGTGCAAAATTTACACTGAATGTATGTGCTCTAACAAAGAAAAAAAAGTATAGAAGTTTTTGGTAAAATCTTTTTGCTGGCAGCTGCAGAGCAGGCACATTCTTCTGCTTACATGCATCATACCCATCACTATGAAGGCTCATGAAAAATAACAAGAAAAGAACTGCACAGGGCCGTGGCACAGAATGGGTTACACCAGAGCTGCTCTCATTCAAGTAGCTTTGCTTGTTTTACCAATAAAGAAAGAGAAGAGGGAATAAGTGATCTTTCTATCATTATTAAAAGAAATGGCATCTTTGGATCACACATCTTCCCTGGAGGGAAACCAAGATGCGACAAACACACATGATCAAAACATTGTATTTTCAAACCACAATAGAATGATGTCCACAGTTTGATGTGAATTCCACCTCTGCTGATAAAAGCTGGAAAATCCTAAACCTGTTCAGATAAGCCACTTTCCCTCTGTAACATTCACCATCCTTTAGAAAACAATCAATGCTACATAGTTTAAAACCCAAATGCACCTTAAAGAATGGATTAATTATACTCTGTAGATTGTGGTAATTAAGTGAATCAAGATCTTCCCCTGAGTTTTGGAATCAGCTCCTTACTCAGCTGCTACATTGTCAACAGCTGGCATGAATTACTGGGAACATTTGGCTAACTGGATAATAAGGAGAGAGTGTGGTTAGTCCAAATTCTACTTCACTGATCTGCTTCAATTTAGAAAACAAAAAAAAAACCCAACCTCATTAGATTCTCCTTTTTTTATTCTTTTTTTAAAGCAGTAACAACACTATGAAGATCAGGTTTTCTATTTTATTCCTTCATTATGTGCAAACAATGTAGCTGTACAACTCTCAGAGGCTGTGTGGGCTGGTGCAGCCACAGCCCCAAGTCCCTGTAATTCACTGATGCCTGTTTGCAACCCTGATTCATCCTCACCCCCACCACACCTCTCTCAGCTGCTGTGCTAAAGGTGTGCTGCTCTGAATACCTTTTTATACTTGCCAGTGATTCATCAGCACAGATCACTGTACCAAAATCCCCAGATCTGCCCCAATCCTGTTTACTGAACAGAAAATATCTGTGAGACCAAAACTGCAGCTTTGTGATGAGGTAAAATATTACAGACCCATCCAATCAAATGCCACCCGCTGTTACTTTGTTGGATTATTTGCTTTGACCCATGCAGTTATCAAACTCTCTCCAGAAATCAATGCAGGCAGCCAGGTGTAGTGTAAGACATGCTCAGAAGTGGGTCTGTGCAGGGTCTCTGCTGGGCTCAGCCTCCAGAGGCACCTTTGCCACAGGAGCTGTGGGGCAGTGGGCAGGTTTAATAACTGCTCCTTCTTTTCAACAGGTAACAAGGACTCCAAAGAAAACAGCTTCTCAGATGACAGCCCCTGGAGAACTGCTCAAATCAAGACCAAGTCTGATATAAAGCAATTACCTCATTATTTCAGCCGTTCACAACCCCCCCAGGTACTGAGGTAAACTCTGCATGTGTGTTACACAGTCACAGCTTCAGTTACAGCTGTCCTTGAAAAATATTGGATTAGCCACAGCCTTTCCTTCCAAAACCAAACATTTAAAGCACTGGCTTTTCTTCTCCTTGTGAAAAGTGAGATCTATTGAGGATTAGGAACTTACAAGGAAGAACAGAATTAGAAACGATTTATGATTTTACTAAAAATATAACTTTATAACACAGTTTTGGTGATTTTTTTTCTTTTGCTTTTTTTGCTGAAGTGGAATTCTGCACTTTGTCTAGAGGTGTTTACACTGGGATGCTGGAGATGTGTTTGCTTATCACAGCCACTGTGTTGGTGAATCTACCCCATCCTGAGAGAGGTTAGGTCCCTCCTTTGTTTTTGGTAAAAATCAGTAGCTCCTGTAAGAACCTGGCTGAAAAGGTAATCAAGGGTGATTAAGTCTCCCATATCTGGGAGTCAGGATTATCATACCTGAGACAATGACACTGACACTGCACCCACCAGTCCCTTCTGTGAATTAAGTGTTGGGTTTTTATTTTTCTTCTTCTCTTTTTTTTTTTTTTTTTTTTTAACAGATTTGGTTGTATATTTCTTTATAAGTTTTGCACTCATATATTCACAAGTCTCTTTATTTTATAGGTTTTGGGTTGTATTTTTATAATATGACTTGTAAAATGGATTGTCTTAGGTTTTTTCTTTATGAATTTTGCATGCATATATTCACAAGCTTCTTTATAGGTGTTGGGTTGCACCTTGGTAATATGACTTTTGAAAGGGATTGTTTATTTTGGGTTTTTCTTTATAAGTTTTACACCTGGATATCCATTTAGGTATTACTTTGTGTATTTTTAATTTTTTGATAGTTTTATAATGCAATATATCCCTTTATAAAAAAAAAGAGAAGAAGTTACTTGAAAGAAGAACACCTACAGGATGATGTAAGCATGTGCAGACCAACCACTCAGAAGTAATGACAGATAACTCCATCTCCTGAGGATGACTCTGACCAATCCAACTGTGCTTCATCTCCTAGGAGATGACTCTAAACACACACAATGGATTTCTTCCAGATACTAGAAGATAAAAAGACAATCAACCAGAACTAAAAGGAGCCTCTGGTGTTTTAATGCTCAGCTCCCAGCACTGTGACCTTGCTTTGCTACCTCACTTAATTTGGGTAAATAAGATAATTATTTACTTATTATACAGAGCCAGACTCTGTTGTTTTTAACATCCTCTTTGATCAAAACAGCACTGTAACTTTTGAGGCAGCAGAGGATTAGTCCAATGTAGTATCATGGCTAAAGCTAAAACCAAACAAATAGCTAAACCAATTTATTTATTTTTTTTAATCTTTTTTTTGGCCACGAGCTACCACACTGATGCTGCTGAAAGGCTTTTTAATTTAGATGGGCTGGTCCCATAAAATGATCTGAAGTATTTCAGCAACTCCCATTTTTATGATGTTGTGCTTGATTGCAATAACAAGAAACACAGAACTGCACTGGAATTCACACATCATGATGGTTACAGTGAGGGCCATCACTTGTTCATCATTCTTCTGCAGAGAAAGCAATCTAAGTGAAGGTCAAGCCAGCAGGATAAATGTGGCTACTTTTTGGTTTTCAATCATGCCAGTCATAAGTAAGTCACCTTTAGAAAGGTACTTAATCCTTGCCGTAGGGGCTAGAATTTAATAGCAGGCAATTGTGGCAGGTAAAAATAATAAATAGCTTTTAGATTCTTCCAGTCTTTTATATCCACACACTGTTACAGTGATTTCCAAGAAAATCTGTGCTATGACAATAAACAATGATGTATCATGTTGGGGGAACAGGAGAGAGAAAAGAAGAATACCTAGTTTATCTAAAAGTACATTTTCCCAGTAACATGTTTTATGACTTAAAAATCCCACATGAAAAAAAAAATGTCAATAGGTAGCCTTTTCAAAAAACAAGCTCTTATTTTTAAAGAGCTGGTAGAAGAAAAGAAATCCTGAATATAACAGATAATTTACTACTTTCAGAGTCAGAAATTTCCCTCTGATCTGCACAGACACTGACTACACCTCAGAGCTCACTAAACAGAGCATCACAAGGACTGACTCTGGTGCTTCAGGAATCACCAATTACAGGGCTGAAAATAATCTGTGATTATGCTCCTTAAAGACTGGATGATAGAAAAGGAAAAAAAAAATAATAGTTTTTTTAGGACACCACATTTGCTGTCCTAGAGGAAAAAGTGGGCACCAGCAGCAGAAGGGGAAAGGCTCACATGGGAGAATCTCAACTCCCCTTCAGCTTCCTATCTGACCACAGGCAAGGGACACCCTTACCTCAACAAGGTCCAACTGGTAACAAGGAAACAAGAGGAAAACTGTCAGCAATGTTTTGTGAGGAAGCAGAATGGAGGAGTTCTGCTGAAGATCCTGCTAACAGCATAAAGCAAAAGGAAAAGCAAGAAGGCAGCATCTTAAGAAAAGAACGAAAGGGGTTTGTGTCCTTTAAAGGAGATAAAATGAGACAAAAGCAGGAAATGCTGTGCTTCCCTTATCCTGAGAACTTAATGAAAGCTCAAGTATAGCCATCAATCAAGATAAGGAAGAGGTAACCAAAGAGATGACCTTCTTTGAGGGGAAACAAGTATGTATATCAGATAGAACTTTTACACTCATGTGGTCCTCCAAGTGAGAGGAAAGAGAACACAGTTTCATGCCAGCCTTTAAAAACAAACAGTGAAAATCAATCACTGGATATAGAACAAAATGAGACAAGGGAGAGCCTGTTAAGTCAAAGAGGAACAGCCAAGGAAAAGCTTCATTCCAAAATTTGTGAGGACTTCAGTGAAATTCTATTCCCTCACCACTCCCATGGTTTGGCATCTGGCTCAGCGGATGCATCTCCTGGGGGCTGCCACCCTCACCAGTTTGTTACTGGAGCTGCAGGACTATTTATGTGCACTTTAAACTTCTGGGTTAAAGATTCTTGCTTTTCTGAAAGAGAGCAATCCCTTTTCATTCATGCTTGACCTCAGAGTTGCAAAATTAATTTACTATATTCCCCTGTCAGCTATGCTTATGACATCACTTTTGGGATGAAAAAAAGTCAGATTGTGTGGAACTGCTTCTTAAGGAGATAAAACATCCCTCAAAATCAAAGATAAGTATAAATATTTCTCAAACACAAGCCTAACAGAGTTCCCTGTGGCTTTCTCAGCCAACAACAGTTCATTCTTAGGCTAGCTTTAAAACATGGAATTGGTTCAATATCACTCTTCAGGAAAAAGTAACAGGTTTACCAGCTCTCGAGGTAGAAAGGCCTCCTCCTGGCGAGCCACGACCAGGCAGACAGTTTCCCCTTGCTTTGTGCTCCTCAGCATAGCTACCAGCTCCTCCTGGCTCCTGCCAGTGATGTCCCGTCCATTCACCTACCAGACACAGAAGAAGAGAGGATGTCCATCTGTGAGCACCACTGCCTGTGGTCATCCCCCCCTTCCCAACACTGCTGTCACTCAGTGAAGAATTAGCAACAGCTCCCAGAGTCTTCCCCTCTGGCCCTGCACAAATCACTTAACCTTTTTTCCCTCCTTTTCACCATCTGTTAAAGCAGCTCTGTGGTACTTCCACACCGTGCAGGGGGTTTGTGAGGCTTAATTAGTTTGTAAAGCACTTTGAAGATGAAAAGTGCAGAAACAAGACCTAAGTATTAAAACTGTTTACCTTAAGAGCTTTTTGAGGTTAGCAAGTGGAAAAAAAAAACAACCAAAACCCAAACACATTAGAAAATGAGATTGTAAATCACAAGATACCTGAAAAATTTAAACAGATTTGAGCAAAATTGCCTTAAAATGAGCACTTAACCAATTCAATATTAATCAGAGATTTCTTTGGACATGGCTGAAGAGGCAAGACATGTTTTGTTTCTAAACTGATGCATTTATCTACTTCAAGGACTAAGGTGTTATAAAGTCCCCCCTTGCACAAACACCCCATGGACCCTTGTGAAAAGCACCTTTTTCCACATGGTGGTGTAAAATACAAACAGTACAAAAGCCATGAGACTTTTTTTTTTTAAATCAAGGTTAAGAATTGTAACTCCATACACATCAGTAGTATGCATGAGGAAACAACATAATTGTGCCAAATCAGTGATCAATACTCAGCAATGAAAACTCAATGGATGTTGATTCTGACCTCCAGGATTCTGTCTCCTGACTGCAAACGCCCATCTTTGACTGCTGCACCTTTTGGTAAAATATTCTTCACAAAAATAGGACCAGGACCATGTACAGAAGAGTCTCTGGTGACCACGGTGAAACCAAGTCCTTCTGGACCTAGAAGGTCAGACAGAAAACACCCAATGTAAATGTCAGCAGGCAAATGATCATTAGAAGCATGTAAACAATGCCAGCAATGTATCACAGGCACTCACTCAGGTTAGCTCTTACAAAAAGCAAACAAAAAGCTGTAAACATGAGCCTATTTTCTGCATCATCTAGCAAAGAATTCTATCAATGTCAGAACACATGCTCAGATCTTCCTGCAACAGCTACAGGTGGAAGCACTTCTAGAGAGCCCACAGTAACACAAAACTGGTGAGAACTTCTCTTTTAAAGCATTTACCTTATCTCTAGTGGTTTTAGTATCACCCTTCACAGTCATGTCAAATGAAGGTGAAGAAACAAATCAGAGCAATCAGAATTGTTTATTTATGAGTGTAAACATCACTGAGCAGATTTTACTGAAATTCAGTGAAAAGGGGAAAAATCATTTGAATGCAGAGAGTGCTGACAACATGCTGTTGAGAAAAGACAAAGTGATATTTCAAAGCTTCCATTAGTGAAGTTTTTTTGTTGCTTGGAAATAAACAACCTCAAGTGTTAATAGAATTCGGGAGTAAAATCAGTATTAGCAGGTATTGCTTATAAGCCAATACAATCCCCCAGTAATAGCAGGGTCCACAAAAATCTTTTCATACTGGGCAGGACTGCTACTCAAGGGATGGTTTTCAGAGATATCATCATGTCAGTATCATGGTCCTAGCACTTCTAAAATTGAAAGTTGCTGTTTCAAAATCAAAAGCATTACATCTAAAACAGGGAAAATTCTGAAGGAGGGTTTGTCAATGTAAAGCTGAAGAGTTCAGAAGTAAAAAATGAGTGATTTAAGTTAAGAAATAATAAAAATTAAGACATGACAGCTTGATTACATTCATTATGTGTTAAAAGAATAAAGTTACAGACAGTTTTTAAAAGGCCCACTTCTAGCATGAAATTTAACTCTCAGCCAAATCAGGGACAGAAATTAAACAGAAAATATAAATGCTAATTGGGATCTGCTTAAGCACATTTTACTGCATGTGCATAAACCTGTTACTCCACACAAAGACAGACATCTGCATGGAGCAGCAATTAAAGATATATACACAAAATCCAGCCTGCTGACAGCTGAATAAATACAGATGGAAAGAAAAGGTTTGCAGAACATAGAAGAGGGAAAGGCAGTAAGTCTGTGGTCAGCTTCTGGGGTAACATGAAACAGAACAGAATATATTTTTAAACATCTCTTTAAAAGAATGTTTTAACAGTGCTCTGGACAATTAGCAGATATGAATGAAAGTATCAGTGGTCATCAGCAGACAGCTCAAATTTTTATTCTGCACATGTGGAAAGACTGAAGCATCTCTTCATCTCACACGTTAATGAAATACCTTCCATGTAATCAGCAACTGAGATGTTTTATAAATCAGTAAGTCTGGATAACATGCATCCACAATTTATGAAAAAGCTGACTGTTGAGCCTATTACTGTTAACATTCCTTTACCTTTGGGAAGTTTGGGAACTTTTAAACTATAATTCACTTGCTTGTACTTCTAATGTCAGTAGTTTAGTTAAAAGTTACGATATCAAGATATCACCATAGAGAACGTGATACGGAATAAATCATATAATCTCCAGACTTACCTTTCTTCAGGTCTATCTTTATTCTCTTTGCATTTTTTTTATTGCCAAAGCCCATGAGGGGAGACAGTGAGGGAGAGGATGACTTCCTGCCCAGCCGTGGAAGGCTGGGGCTCTTAGCTGGTACTGGTGCCTGAACACCTGTCTCCAAGCTGCTTGCTCCAGAAAGATTAACTGTTTTCAGAGCAGGTTTGGGATGAACAGGAGGTGGAATCTTTGTTTTTGGAACCCCTTCTTCATTATCCAGAAAGCAGAGAGGAGCAATGGCAGATTTCTCATATTGTTCTCGATTATATGGAGGGAGGACTTCCAAGATGACACTTTGAAATTTCATTGCCTGACGGAAGATGTCCTGAGCCCTTTGAAAGGAAGATACAAAATCTCACATAGCAAACCAGAACATCTACACAGTTTGAAGATTTTTTACAGAGGATAAGACAAAAATACATCTTAAATATGAAAAGATAACCTTACCTTCATAGTTACAGGGCACCTTTCCAAAAAGTACACCCGAAATAACATTTCCAAACTGCAGCATTTCCTCATGTTTCAAGCAGGAACAACAAACCTGTCAGGATTCCTATGCTGCTCTGAAAACATCTCAGCCAGAATAAACTAATGCACACAGTTCTTCATGCAGAGCACCAGGAAGGGAAGTTCCAGTGGCAAAAACTCATCAAAAGACTCCTGAAGTTAAAGCTTGCTACTTTTTTTCAAGTGTTTGTCTGTTATATGTGTTCTTCTTGGCATAGAGGCACATTCTGAGCAAGCTCAAGGCTCCATTTTTAACCTGAGTACAGCCCAACTGCCCCTCAGATTCCTTCATCATCCCTAATACAACTGCTGGCTGATCCCACAGCAATAAAAAGGGATGAGGGTATAGGATGCATGGACAACTTCAGAAGCAATACTGTGATTGCAAATGGTGCAACAGAAAAGGATGATGGTATGGGATACACAGACAGATAAATACACAGGCAGATGTTACATCTTTCAAGCAGTGACCTCTTGCTAATGTGGATATTTGGACTTCACTAAATATCTTTAAAGATGTGCTTAGCAGCAATACTAAACCCCTGTTTAGAGCATTTAATGAAAGTACTGTCCTGGAGCTGCTAGCATCCTAACAATACAGGGCTCAGGCTCCCATGCACTACAAGGCAATTAAGACAAGTTGGCCAAAGCAACTGCTCATAGGGCCTTCCCTGGACTTTGAATAACTCATAGGTGAAGTCAATCAAGCCATTTGAAGAACTCTGGATTCCAAACAAAGGAGACTTCTCTCTCTCTATGCTTTCCTCTTCTACCTTATGAAGTGGACAGATTTGTTTCAACACTCCAGAAGACAACTCCAGTACAAACACAAGTAGTAGCTGAAGCACATTTTGAGCATTAAAAAAAAAAAAAAAAAAAAAAAAATCAAGAACTTCTGCTTAACAGAATTGGGCCAAAAGGTAAAGTAATGGCCACATTAAATTTTAAATGAATGATGGGGTCCTTTTGAGAACAGTTTCCATATCTCCTACCTCTCTGTAGCCTCTTTGTCAGTCACGCAAAGTCAGTATCTCACTGGAGTCTTGGCTTTGGGTTTGCACTCAGTTACAGAAAGGAAGCCACCAAAAACAAGAGCATCTAGAATACTCACCTACTGCCTCCCCTGATCACCAGAGCCACACAGTGCCTCCAGCCTGCAGCTGTAGGTAGTGGAAGGAAGGGGCTATTCCAAGAGGGTTTTTTTGCATCATGAAGACACTGAAGTCAGGAGGCAATCCCAATGGATACTTGTGTGGGAAAGAACCACCTTGGCTCCACTGACTGTGCATGCCCCAAGAGCCAGAGTAACCACATTCATTGAAGGAGACACTGCCAGAAGAGAAACCTCAAACTTGGAAAGAAAGGCAGCAGGGTGAGTGTTGTTGGAAGGTGCTCTTCCAGCACCACCCTCAAGGGTTAGGTTTCAGAGCTGTAACAGGACAATCCCAGCGTGTCTGCAGGGGTTGTAGGTTACCTGCTGACCTACAGCCTGTGACTGTTTTCAAGAACAGCCCTTATCCTGATCATAGAAACCATGGCATGCTCCCAGCATGGCCATGGAAACTCTTACCAAGGTTTCTTTCCCACCTTGCCTTCAACCTTGCAAGTAGCCACTTGGTCACATGTTACAAGGTAATTTAATAATTCAGTTTCAGAAGATGAATATTTTAAATATATGAAAGACAAAATGGGAGATTGCCTTCAAACAAAAAATAGTGGAAATAACCTAAGACTTCCTGTGGGAAAGCCTCAGTGCAGTCTTCAGGGACAAAATAACTGGCTGCACTTCAAAGGGAAAAAATAATGGATGGAGAGATTTACATTTCTTGAGACCCCAAATGCATACTTTAAAGAAATAAGGGAGTCAATTAAAAGAGGTGCTGGAAACTCTGCAACACAACAGAATGTAATTAATAGATTAACAGCAAATGAGAAGGCAGACCAAGTATTCCCAGTATAGGAAACTATTAGAAACATGGGAATACAGAAAGCAGGCTGCTGCTATTACAGCTGCAAATGCAGCAACCATCATGAGCAACACTGGGAAGTCTCTGCTGAAAATGGGGAGAGTGTGTTAACAGTCTCTCCTCAGTGTTAAAACAGCATTTACAAGGGTTATGAAGAAATGCCAGTTTGAAACTAGCAAACAGATTTGCCTCTCAGAGGAGAACCTGATGGCTGCTTTCTAGGTCAGCAGTCATTGGGACAATACTTTGTCACATCCACCACGTTCACTGCATTTTCATACCTTGAGCTGCTCTCAGGTTAGCACAGTTCTGTGCATGCCAGAGGAAAACTAAAAGGTGTGTTTGCTGAGATTAGTTTCACCCTGGAAAGCAGCTTTCTTCAGCCATTCTCAACAGCCAGGGAAGGGACACGATGCAGGAGGACACTCCAGAAGGCAGTTCATCAGAATGTAAGAGGATGTGGGACCAGGCTAGAGCCTGTACCAACACTACCTCCAGTCCCCAGATGGATGTTGAGTCAGCACAGCCCACAGTTGTCCTCCCAGAGCCAGTGCCACTGCAACTGCACTACTTGTTATTGCAATATAAGGTGATTTGGATGAACTGAATTAGGCTCTGCTCTGAATTATTTTTCAGTCACTTCTCTTGCCCTCCCAATGAGAGAGAGATTGTCTAACAAGACCAGCCTCTCTAAACTAACAACTATCCCTGTAAATATAATTTCCAACTCCCAAACTTTATACAAACACGGAGAAAGAGAAGAGTCCTGCATTGCTCATTTTGAAGGAAAGCCTGATGGAGAACTGGAAAGTTTAATGCAAGATTTCTAACTGTCCCAAAATCTAGTAAACACTACAGAAAAAATATGTGGAGTCCTCTCCTCCACATACACCTCATGGTCTTAAAGCCTTTGGAGAACTGGTTGCATTCTGAAGAGAACACCAAGGAGATAAATTTTTATAGAAAAGATCACATACAATTTTGAAAAGAGAGGTTTTTAGTCAGGTACTATCTCATTTGAGAAGGCTGTAACTTCATTCCAAAACTGCAGAGGTGAGGCAATGAGCTTTTTAATATGATGCCAACACTTATGCTCTGGTAAAGTTGGTATCTTACATAGGAACTTTCCATGGGTGGAAGAGGATGGCACATCCTGAAGCACAGCAGAGTACATTTACCACCAAATATGGAGAAAGCAGCAAAGCTATCAGAAGGCAAAGAGCACAGCCTCAGAAAGAAGCTAATACCTATATTACAGAACTACACTGGTTTTATAAAAAACAAATATTATAAAAACCAATAACTGAATATTTTGCAAATATTTATCCCCAACAGTGAAATTACTTATTTGATTTTAGTCTAGAAACCTTGAACATTTGGCTTACTGTTTAGAAAGTTAAGCCTTTACTCCCTTGAGACCTCCATAGGTTTTTGTTATTTTATAAACAATCACTCAGCTGTCTAAACATATGGATTAAAAGTAAAAACAAATTACTATTTAATTACTCCAGCAAATATCTGTGAAATTTGAGAGGCTATTCTTTTGGGCAAGTCACATTAACTCGCAGTTGATCAAAGCAACCTGTTACCTAAAGTAATTTGAGATAGATAATAGATGACAAGAGATTTTTAAATAAAAATCATGAGTTGAGACTTACTATTTAGCTGAACTAATCATAGCTTGATGGTACTAGTATTTTTAAAAAATTAAATGATCAAAAAAATGCAGCACCAGAAAAAAAAAAAAAATCACCTCATTTCATCTGCAAAAGAATATTAAAACATGCTGTGGTGTTGACTCATTCTGAAGGTCTTATGGGGAAAAAAATTACAAAGAAAATATGGGGAAAAAAAATAAGAGAAGAATTATGAAGTGAGGATAATTTCTAAAAACCTTACTGCTGTTTAAATTAAACAAACACAAAAGATTCACTAAGACTAGAAGAGGATTCTTCTCTTCAAATTTCACCTTAACTGGAAGTTTCAGAAAGAAAATGAGAAAGTTTCTGCCAGGTATCAATTTTGTAAGCATTTTATCTGAAATAAATATTAATCCCCTTGGGTGAATTGCTTAATAAACACACAATTGTATAAAAATACCTGGCTAGTTAGGAAGTAAACCATCAAAACAGTAAGTGACTAAAGCAGAACTTACTGTGCAAAGGTTTTATCTGTCAGGTCCACGTGGTTGATCCTCACGATGCACTCGTTCTCCTGGAAAAGCCCATCACGCCTAGACCTGCTGTTGTCCTCAATACCACGGATGAAGAGTCCCAGCATCCTGAAAGGCAAAATGAAAGTGAAAACTACCCTTACTTTGCTGCTATGAACTTAAAGCAACTAAAAAGAGATAATGATCTCTGCTGTGTGTAAGATGAGACAGAGCAGACCACCATGAAGTGCTTAATTTAGATAAAAGATCTCCAGCTCACTCTTTAACTAAAAGTGAGGAGAATGCAAAAAAAACTCCAAGAAAAAATGCTGGACACTAATGCTCTAGTACTTATTAGAACTTCAGGAAGCATTGTGTCCTGTAGGTCATACTTAGAGAAATGGAGGAAAACACCAAGACCTCCTCATCCAGTTAAAAATCTGCATGGAGCTTTGACGCAATATTTTTCTGCCACTAGGATTGCACTGTCCCAAAGAAAAGCACAAACAGATTAATTTTCTATCTCAACTATAATAAACTAAAAGGACACTAGAATAAGGTAAAAAATAACCACTACTTCTACATCTGAGAAGCCTCTGAATCTTACTTTCCAGTTGCCCAAGCCCCTTGTTTTGATACATGACAGCAATACTGGTTAGTCCTGTGGCAGGAGAGCAGCAGAACACCAAAACCTAGAACTGTTTGTTAACAAGGTTATGGGCAGATTGGAAACTGAGGTGCAGCACAGAAACTTCTCATTTGTTAAATGAACAAGTGTGGGTATTGCAGAAGTCCAGTGCAGGTAGCCCTGCTGGGAGCACTAGGCTATTTCTGACCTGCCTGGAACATCTCTCTGTTCTAGGCTACAAGTCAAGCATCCAATGATACCAGTATAATGCCAGAAAAACTTGGCAGCAGCTTGTTTGTGATGACCATTTATAATCAAGTTTTATCCACTAAATTTCCATACCACAGCAGTATCAAAGATGACCTTCACAGACCATTTCCTCTTGGTCATACTCCATAAAACAGTAACATGCCATTTCCAACGTGCCAGTGCTCCAATTGCAAACCAAGGCTTGGATTTTTTCTCAGATTCAGGACTGTCCCTCATCTTTAAGTCCATTCAACAGATTCACACTACACCATTTTTTATTTCAAATAGCATTGAAATGACTATTTCAAATGGCATGTGATGTTAGATTTACTGTGTCATAAGACTGAAGAATTTATACATATGTCATATCCATGCACACTAAGTGAAAACTTAGTTCACATTCAATATTACTTCTTCAAAACACCTAACTTAAAAAAGTTATTTAATCTATCACATAAAAATTCTCTTGTAACCTGTTGCCCTTCACTAAAGGATGCACAGGGGCTTTGGTGGTGAGAGGCCACAGCTTTCTTGATGATAAACATCTACCTAGTGGCAATCAAAAACTTGAATCCTAAGCACTATCATAATCAAGAAATATCATTGCACTGAGATGCAAACCAAGAAAAGCAGAGAGATAAAAGAAATTACAGATTAAGTCAGCTGCTCACTAATACTGTTGTGCTTAGATGCTACATCTCTACAATGAAATTGGACTTCCACTTGTCCAAAACTCATTGTGTGTGCTGTAGTACCCAAATTAGTGGCTCACTGGCCATTATGTTACGTATGCTGTGGCAGCTTAAATTCATTGCTCCATTAATTTTTTCCACAGCCTCAATTTTAGCGTTATTTTAATGCACTTTTAAATTTTAATTTCCTTTTTTAATTATACCTAAGTGCAAAAGAAAGGGGGGGGGGGAAATTATTTCCATTAGCCTTGTGGTTCCTGTATAAACTATAATCTGTAAATTAATACAATGTTTTAACGACTTCTAGCAGCACTAGGCTAAAGCCAGAATTACCTTATTAGAAGATAACTTTGCAACTGAAATACCAGACCTAGTCATGGCCAGTGTGCCCCTATAAATTTCACCTTGTCATTAACAGAAATAAAAGATGCTCTTCTGTACTTTCTCAGGATGAGTTCAAATTTATACACTAGCCCTCCAGCTTGATGAAATAAGAGGGACACGCAATTTAAGCCGTTCTCGTGCTTTCACAAAGAGATCAGTATGGTTCTGCCAAGGGTCATGAAAAATTTCAGGACAACTGTCTAAACCAGTAGGGGTCCATCTGTCAAAGCCCCTCTGCTCTGAGGGATCACCGAAAGCACTTGTCAATAAGGACACAGCAACACGCATGCAATGTGGACTGAGGAGCTCCAGCTTTTCATTCATGGAGGTCCCTACAAGCCACCCCCAACACAGTGGGATGGCAGCACAGAGCTGTATTACAGTCACAATAATTACTGAGTTTAATAGCTTGTGATTCCATCACGTTTTTTACCTAATTATCTTGCAGTACAGTGCAAGCTCCATGGCATGCCTCTAACCAAGACCTACTGCCTGCATTTCATGGTGGGGCAACAGACACAAGTGCCATTCTCAGGACAAACAGGCAGCCTGTAAAGCCAAGGACACAACTCAGATTTCCTACAATTCCCATCGAAGGCCAAGTGTCTTCTTGAGACAGTGGCAGCATTTTTGCAGGCAGCAGGCAGACATCTATTTTCCCTTTTTGACAAATAAAACATTCTGAATGAATTTGGGTCCACTTACAAACTCAGAGCTTGCCAAGAAAACATTTCCAGACACAGACCTTTCCAAGGTGTTACAATCCCTCACATCCCCTGTCACCCACCAAAGCTGACAAGTAACAAATAAGACAATTTTTACTTTTGCAATAATTGTCTTTGTGTTACAAGCAGCCATTTTACTGTAGTGTCACTTAGGCATTGGCAATTTCCCATCTCTTATTCAGGGCTGCCAGTGTCAAATTAACTCCCTGGCTAAGCCCCTGTATGTCAAATTTCAGCCTAGACTTTTTCCCCCCCTCCTATTTTTTTTTACATCTGAGTTACATAGCTTGGAAAACAGTTATAATGAAAATGCTGACACAGTCTTAACTACAGTACATCAATATGAGCACGCTGCTATAATGGGCTTTTGTGATCTCCAGAGACTATGCTAAATCATTTATAATTAAAGTAATTGTATTGTGACAAAGAAAAGTTCATGGTATAGTGCACATTTTATAAATGTTATACAACCGGATCTGAAAGGTGGCTTGAAAAACACAAGGCATGGCCAGGAAAGCAAAATTCTTTACTCTTCTTGACTTTTCTTCACTAAAAAAGGGCCTGTACAGAGAAATCCAACTGGAAACCAGAAGAAAAATAAACCCAAAAAAACCAACAAACCCAAACAAACCAAAAATTCCCCACACAACCCAAATCAAATCCCACATCCACAAAACCCAACTCCCTAGGCCCTACTCCTTTAACATGACATTATTCTACAGAAAGCCTAGTTTACCATTCAGAGAATATAACTAGTCAATTTAAAGGACATATATGAACAAAGGGATTGCTGTTGTCTCATCTGTAACTTAGACTAATAAATATTTTTGTCATGCAAGAGTGTAGACTAATTTTAAGCATTTCTTTCCCTTATGGTGAAAGAGTAGATACTTTAAGAGAACCACAATTGAAATCCTTTCATGAATATTCTTCTTGAGTAATGTGGAAAATACCTTACCTTCCACTCAAAGATGAAAAAAAGGGTACAACATGTATTCCCAAGGGTCCACCTTCCCCAGAAATTTCCACTGTTTTTGTAATTTCACTGAAAAAGAGGACAAGGAAATACATCTCATATGCTTCTTGACAGAATTCTCCATGTTAAAAACAAATTCATGACTGATCAGGTAACAGAAATGCCAGGAAAAAAAAAATTAATCAGAGCTCAATAATGTATAAAAATATGATGAAATTTAAAATGGCTGTCAAATGCTTAATATTTGATTTTTTTTTTTTAGATTAGCATTTGTGTACTTTCAAAGGGAAAGACACCAAGTACTAGACATTTTCCTGAGTCAATCCTTAAGCAATTTAACCAGAAGATTAAAGAATAAGCTTTTAAGTCAGGAGAGACTATATCACAAAATAAAAACAATCAAGGAAAAAAAAGGCTATTCTCCATGTTCTTAATTTACACTCCACATGAGCTGCTTCACTCAATTTCCCCAAGTGGACACATCATAAACACAGAGATCATACATTAAGGACATCAAGCCAATAAGCAAATTAGTCAAATCCTATTTAAACCCCTTGATTTCTGCCCTCAGTTGCATACAACCTCGTGACAAAGAAAGAACAAAAACTCTAATCAAAAGTGCAACTCAGCTTGTTTTATCAGAGTTTCCTTCCTCAAACACACAGCCAAGCCCTCTCACAAGAGGAACAGTTACTGCAAAGAATCTAAGACAAATTCTGGCATTGCTTCCAAATACTGCAGGAATATTGGGGGTATTTTTGTTACAAACCTTTATCCAGTTGCATACTGATTAACACCAGAAGCAACTTGCCTTAAACATAATAATAACTAGCTTGGTCAGCTAAATATGGAATAAGACTGGAAAATAAGTTTACATAATTTTTATTTTTTAAGTTTGGGGAGCAGGGGAGAAGATTATAAATTATTCTTCCAGAAAAGGCTGACAATGAATTCATATTCAGTAAAAATGAAAATGACCTAAACAACAAACACCCTAAACAAACAACAAACCACCACTGATCACACAAAATTTTCTGGCTACTATAACATAGGTATAAATTAAAAGGCATTTCCATTTGCCTTTGGTTTTTTTTTTTTGTTTCCTGCATTACTCTCTCTTCAAGAAGTGAACAAGGAAATCCTGAGAAAATCTTTCTCTAAGTTTTTTTTTTTTTAGAAAACTTTTTGTTCTAGTGAAAATGGTCAGAAAAGTTAATCAGGGTGGTTACCAAAAGTTCAAAAATGCATGCATAGGAAATTAATCAGTTCCATCTTCCATTTCCTCCCATTCTTTTAAGAGCTTAAAAATAATAATTATTATTAAAGGGCTACTTTTATTGTCTTTTGAACTTCTCCAGAATCAGAACACAGAAGCAAATGAAGTATTCAAATATTATAGATCCAGAAAATGATCAGAAGTAGTGAATGGGCTTTCATTTCTTCAGAGAAAATTTAAACAAGTTACAGCTGTCCCCATATAACCCCACGTTGCTTAAATACTCCAGGGAAGAGCTGTCTTCCTAAGCAACTGTAAAACAGAGCAGGAATTTTTTTGAGGGCTATCACAATAGACAGGTTATCTGTCATATCAAATCAATGCACTTACAGTTGTAAGTTAGCTCAAAGCCAAAGAAAACAGACAAGTTTATTTTTAAATGTAACATGAAATGTACACTCTAAGTAGGGCTCTTTGTGAAAGCAGATAGCCCACATGTATTACTTTTAAAAACATTATGGCATGTCCTAGAAGTTATGGATATACTAACACACCAAATATCCAGAATAGGAGCACACTCTCTATACATATCTATAAAAAGTACTTTAGAATGATTTTTTTCAATCAAAAAAAAATGATAAGCCAGGGTGACTTGTCCTTCTCAAACAAATGTGATTCTTTGTTATAGCCTACAAGAAAACTGCCCTTCACACCAACTTTAATACATCTTTAAGGACATATTGTCTATATATTGCATCTTTGAAAGCCTGCTAGTTAAAAAATTAAGGAGCAGCACATCTGGAATTTGTCTCTTCTTTCTTTTTCTGTTGTCATTTAGGAACCTCAAAGATTAGAGACTTGGAAAAAATTGACATCATTCACTCATGCTGTCCATCTTCCAGCAGATTTAATCTTCCCACACGCTGAACTCCAGCAGTGAACTATTCCACACTGGCTTACACTTTACACTGGACTGGAAAGAGTATTCAGATTATGGTATGGTGGATGAGATCCTGAACAGGATGGTCTTTAAGAAACCTGAACTCCACAGGCACAGAGGACAGCAAGGTGCTGGAGAGGGGAATTTGTGGATTTTCACAAAACACTGAAAACAAACAAAACAGTGAGGAGTTTTCTTTTCCTCAGAAAACACTGTCCCTGCTGAATTTGCAACCCAATTCCTACAGAATACCTACAGGTACATTCTTACAGCAACCAAAATAAGCAAACTTTTAATAAGCATTTATCTCAGTGGGAGTTATCAGAACTGCAGGGTTCAGCTTAACCAGAAATGTGCCACTCCTGCTTCTTCAGATGGGTGCTGGCATCTCCCTCCACCTCTCTGCACCAAAGTGCCTCAGAGGTCCCCGTGAGGAGAGAACAGGTCCTGGCAGGACCTGGCTGTGGCACCCAACACCACGTGCAATGCTGCAGGATTGATTTTTCACCTGAAGAATATCATCGTTTACTATCTTAAATTCTTCACTGTTTGATGTTTATTGATTTCTGCCAGATTCCTCCCAGTCTATCACATTTGTCAGGCAGGCTGGCCACGCATATAATTAGAGATGTTGATGAGTGCAGCTCAGCAAAGAGAGGCAGAGAAGATGTACACATGAGTGGAGTGAGCACGCAGGGCAGTTTGTCTGCAACGTGGACACCAAAGCTCAGTGGAGAGCTGCACGTTCAGCAGTGCAGGCTCAGTGGTGGCTCAGGCTGATGGGCAGACTGGCAGCACCCTCACTGTTCAATCCCACAGCTCCTTCTCCTGGAAACTGCATCAGGGATTAACAGTTTGTCAGCGATGCAATGGGAAAGGATCTGTTGGCTGAAAGCTTCTCTACAAACTATCGAGTACTCCTGAAGAACCAATCTCCATCACTAGCACACAGATGCTTCAAAGGGACCCTGGCTCCAGAAAGAAAGATTCAGGAGTTTTGCAGCAGGACTGGTTTGCCAAGGCACTTGGACCTTTCCCAAATACAAATGCTAGGAGAATCTTGGTAGGATTGCTCTTGGAGAATGCAGCAGATGCAGCCTTAAGTGGATTTACTGTTTTGCAATATACTGAAGACAGCACCTTGGAAAAAGCTTATTTCTGCATGGGTTACTGGGCAAAACTTGTCATCACGTGGGTGCTGCAAGAATCATTTTTCATTCCAATGGCATATTCTTTCGCAATTTCAGTCTTACTCAAGGCTTGCACATAAGTCTTCAAGCCAGGCACAACATAATGAAGCAAAAACATTTGAACAGATCATTGAATCCCTCATATGTTTTTAAGAAAAGGTACAGATCAGTAAATCTGAAAAAAATCTCTTAGTGCAGGATGTCAATATTGCCCCTGGAAACAGAAAAGCATGGCTGATATTCTGAACATGCTTTTTGGTGTTTTTATTGACCACAGCCAAGTAAAAGGCAAAGGAGATGTCACTCAGATGCAGAGAGCTCACAGATGAAGTTACTAAGCTGTATTTCCTTGCCTGCTCTTCACTCGTGCCTCCAGCCCATCAGGCAATGCAGCCATCCCAGGGGAGGAAAGTGGCTTCTCAGCACAGGCCTGCAGGTGATGTTCAAGAGAATTTGAAACAAGAAGCATGCAACAATTTCTCCAAATAATTTCCTCTGATGGAAATGGCTTGAAAGCCCTGAAGATGGAACTGGAGCTCAATACGTTAAATAGTGTGAATACACTCAAATTATGAAAACCTGAGCAACATCTAAACAGGGATGGAGAACACTCTATGAGGAGAGCAGCAAGCAACTGAACATGCAGAGTCAAATGGGAGCTTTCCAGGCACAGGTAAGGAAACTGTTCACTCTTTTAGAAGAGACAGACACATTTCAGCTGCCACATCCCACACAAAACCAAACTAGCCACAAAGTTTAAATATCTTCTACAAAATAGTGTCAGAATCTTTCAGTTTCAGGTCTGAAGAGGTAACCAACCAACCCTCTCCTAAATATATTGCATTACTCTAGTGAAGATGCTACTGTAAATCCAGATTTTCCCCCCCCACTAAAATTAGCTAGTTGTCATGAGTTTAAGAGTCTAAAGCTTTAGGCAGCCTGCAGGCACCAGGCTTTTGTGTCTTCTTGTCTTTAAATCAAGTAGTTCCAATTCTGTAGTGTTAGACTAATGAAAGACACAGTATGTTTTTTAAAAAAAAGTAAAATGCAGGAAAAAAAAATGACTGCAGTTATGCCTTATTTATGTATCTACAGTGCTTAAACCAAGGAACTGACCCTGACCTCTGCTAAAAAGAAGTGGGAAGACAGTAAAACAGAACATAATGAAAACACATAATGAATTATCTATGCATAAATCACCCTTTGAGTTTCAACTAATACACTGCTATTAAGTTAAACATCCATTTCCCAGCAGATTTGTGTTTACTGTTCCTTAACACAGAGATTTTCCTAAGAAAAGCAAGGTTTTCATACAACCATAGTTCAGACTGGAGAAGACTCAAACCAGTATTTCTATGTATAACGTGCCAGGAGATTCAATGTTAAAGGCTGGGACAAATTTATACCTCAGTTTCTGTGGAGTATCAAGACCCTGCTGTTACTTTAAAAATCTTTCAGTCCTAGGTCAGAAATGAAGAAAAAAAAATACCAAATTTTATCCACTGATGGCATTAGCTTGGCTTCCCTTACTCTGAACATCATCTTTACTAATAAATAAATTAAAACATCCACCTTCAGAAATGATAAGAGGATTGTGATTAGTCCTGTCTTTATTTATTCCATTAAAAAATGTGTCAATGACCCAATGCTTCAAGTCTCTCTTCTAGCAAAGTTACACTAAAGGTCAAATTAAAATTTTCAGACTCCTGAGGGATACAGGCCTGAAAAATTTCACATTACTTTTACAGTGAAATGTTTTAAGAGAAACCAGGCAAAGAAACTTCCTTCCTATTAACTTCTGAATAGAGCAGCTAAAAGTCCTCTACCCTGCCACTTATTTCATCTACTCAGTGTGCCACTAATTTTAGATACTTAAATCAGTGAACTGATTTTCTTCAAATGGAACAGTTTTCCCACTTGAGTGAGAAATACAAACCAAGGCAAGTCTGAAGCCTTTAACTTCAACTGACTAGGCTTCATAATCATATTAATTGTGGTATACTTTTTTTCTCCTTCCCTCTGAAATACTCATTAGTGGCTGGAGCTAGAGAAGGGACATTGACCTCAGACAGGCTGGCATCCTGATGAGAAGGCTCAGAGAATTTTTTTAGGTGACTAGCTGCTATTTTGCTTAAGTGCCATAGGTGACACTGATTACCAGACCCAGTGGCAGGAAGGAAGGTGTCAGAGAAAGCAGCAGTGACAACAGTGGTTTTCTTTCTTTCACAGCATGGCGTAGCTCACAATTAGGCTGAAATATTAGCTTTATTAATGTCACTTAACTTAACATGGCTTATTTAGGTGAAAGCTTAAGGTATCATGACTTGGTGGCTCTTCACGTCCCTAATATCTTTGAAATATAACATGAAAGATACCCATGCATACCAGAATTATAAAGAATACTTTATTTCAGAAAAAAAGTGGTGTAAAAGGAGTCATATTAGATATTAAGATACTAGTTTGAATATTATTTTATTAATTATTTTATTATTTTATTCTTTACTTATAGTCAATGAAATTAAGACACCTGTAAGAGAGAGAGATGGTTTCTAGTGACTCATTTTCCTTTATAAGCCTATTGTCCCTAATGAAAAAAAAACCCACCTTTTGGAAAAACAGTTTAAAAATAAACTCTTCACTTTTAAGGAAAAAGCTGTACAAGAATCAAAATCATTGCCTTGAAAATTGAAATTTTTTTACTTTTGAAATTACAGTGAATTTTGCAGAAAAACCAACTAACTTTGCTTTACAAAAGAATATCTTCTGAATTCCTTTTAAGCTCACTGTTTGAATAAATCAGAATATATTAAAAAAACTTAAATATATTCACAATTTTGAGGAAAACATCATCATACTACCCCCATCTCAATATCTGCAGGCAAAATAGTGTTTTTAAAAATCTCCTCACTGGAAGCACAAAGTATATTTTAGTAGAATTATGTTACCGGGACTCTGCATTTTAAAAAAAACACTGCTCCTTTCTCTTCTTCCTCCCCAAAATGTTTCTCCTTAACACATCCAGCTCAATCTAGATTGAGATAACTTGTTTTATCTCAAAAAAAATAAATAAATTACAATTTGGGAATAGCTTGTTCTGCCTCCTGTCTGTTCAACACTTTGATGCTCAGGCATCAGCTGAGTGGTTCCCAATCTATATTCTTTATCCCTTTCCCTTCCATACTCCTCCAACAATTTAGCCAAATTTGCAGAATTTAGCCAAAATTCTAAGAGATCCTGAGAAGTATCCCACAGGTCTTTCCTCCACGGAGTCAACATTTCCAGTGGCCACTGAAATCAGGTTAGGAATGCTAACAGCACAACCTTCTTCTGAAGAATCCCAAAGCAAGCAATGACTTGTTTAACTCACACAACAGACATGTCCTAAGAGGACTCAGACAATCTAAAACACCCTAGTAAAAGCATAAGAACAACAGTAAATATGAGCATAACACGGAGCTTGATTAATCCCCATTACCAATTAACAGATCAAGAGACAAATGAGTGCACATACTTGGTGATGCATAATAATTACCTGAGGTGAACAAGCTGGAGAAGTCTTTAGCAACATTGCATAAAAAGAAAATAAGCATTAGCAATTAAACTAAGTTCTATACCTACGTGATGAACACTAATTAGCTAGTGTATAACTTAGAGGCCCAGAAGGTGCTGAGAAGGTGGAAGAGCACTCCAGTTCCTTTTCATGAGGAGACCACTCTCAAAATGTGTGTCCATACCAGCAGGCAAGACAAAAAGGGCACACAAAATAGGTGACAAGGAAGCCTCCAACCCAAGGTGGAGGAAAAATGCAGACACAGATAAATGGAAAGGCACAACACTACCAACATGAAAAAATATTAAAAAAAAAAAATGAAATAACTCAAAGAACAAAAGAAACTAAGAATTTAATTCTCTTTCATGGGAAAGACTACTTTTGACATGCTCTAATGGGAAAGGTGATCCTTCTACAAAAATTCTGGCATGGCTCAGAAGACCACCAAGGTTTAAAGTCCCTGCTCTTGCAAAATTCCCCACAAGTTTTGGGTATGTAACTTCATGCCTCTTCCCCAGACCTCATGTAGATAAAATGGGACTATTAAAAGTGTTTGTTTGTTTTTTTCTCAGGTGTTTTTGGGAATACATTCTCTAAGATGAAGGCATGCAGTTATTGTTTATTTCACAGCTTTTGTTTTATACTGTTTTGACAAATAATAAACTGCAGAATTATAGCAAATGATTATTTGCTATCATTAAAATTGAAACAAATTAAATTTTGACATTTTAGCTGTCACACAGGATTTTGCCATGTAGCTCTTCTTAATTTCATTGTATGACATGTTATGATACCACTACAGTTCTACAACACAACATACTAGACAAAGGACTGGATTCCTTTGACTACTCATAAGGTAACTTGAATCACTAGTTCAAACTGAAATTTAAGCTTATGGTAGGACAGGAGAAGAGCAGCATGGAAACATTTTGCTCTAAATTTGCCATGTCAAGTCCTCTACTACCACCACTGAGGATATTACTGACCTAGTTTGTGACACTATTGCAGCCTGGCTTGCTAACTTTGCTGTAGCACATGTAATCTGAAAAATTATTTTTTTCACTTCAGCAGAGAAGAATTTTCCCTGTGATTTCAGGAACTTTAAACTCTGAAGCTTATTATTAAACCTCCTGAGAACACCTCTTGTTTCAGCTATGCAGCTATCAGATTTTACTGTACCTGCTTCTAATGCAGATTACATATTTGCCTCATCTCCCCCAAAATTTAGACTGACCACTACCACCCTCAGTTATAACAGCACTGGCCATCTCTGGATTGTTATAAATGAAGAGAAGAAAAAGATGCATTCTACCTGACTACCCCAGTGAGTAGTGCACAAGGAAATGCTACTAATACTGGCTATAGCTTCAACAGTGTATAAGCACAGCTATAAAATCTGCTACAGGATATAGCAAAGTAATAGCCTTACCACTTGAAAACAGACGTGGTATTTTAACTGAAAAGGATAATTTTAGGATTATATGGTTCAGCTGATTGGTTATTTATTGATATATAATGTACAACCTAAGAATATCTTCTATCTTTAGACATTAAACTGTTGCAGGACTGAGCAGAAAGCAAAATCAGAGTATACAACAGTAGCATATCTTCCCCTTAGCCTTATACTACAAACATCACAATAAAATCATTCAGATTCATCAAAGAGGGTGAAAGACAGTTAGGCACAGATATGTGCTTCAGTTTGTGAACAGAGTGCATTTTTAGGATGAGAAAGGGATGAGGAGGAAGAGATGGTGATGATGATGAGCACCATGCAGCCAGATTCCCAGGAGCAGCTGGAATGAGAAGTCAGCCTTGCCTCTCATGCCCACAAACCATGCTTGAGATGGCAGCACACACAACATGTTCCTACCTGACAGGGAGCCGGGCCCTCTGAGCCAACAGCAGTTCTGTAGGTCCAGGGAGGTTCACCTCCCCATCCTGAAAGGACACCTGGCAACCACCCTGTGGAGAGATTTCAAAGCACTTGTTGAAACCACGCAACACGTACTTCTGCGTATAGAATGGCTTTAATTTATTTTAGAGTCAATACTTGGAAGAGAAAACAAGTCATAAGTAACATCATCTTACTGCTAGCAAGGAGTGAAGACCCATTCTGTATGCAGCACGTATGACACACCATTCAGAAAACAGGAGGGCATTTGAAGTCCTGCTCCTCACACCAGTGTCCCACCATGGTTCCACTGGAGAAGCTCATGGTACTGCTTGTCTCCATATCTAATCTGAATGTCACTCTCTACCCTCCCGAGCCACCTCCTTTCTCACAATAGGTTCAACAATCTTTTGGGATGAATCCACTGGCTCTTTCTCTGCTCCTTCAGTCCCCCAGCAGCATTTTATTTGATGAAGATGTATTCTCACAGGAACTTCACAGAAAAAGAAATGATGTAACTATTTAGCCAGACACAAAAATCCACTGCACACTGGAACTTGATATCAATGCTAAAGCTCTTGAAAACTATTCCTGAACTTTCATTTTGTGATCCTTAGATTCTTTTTGTATTTTTTTTCCATATGGAGAGAGGGAGAGAGGAACCAATGAGATAAGGCCACTGTCAGCAGGTGATAGATGAGCTTTAATGTACTATACTTCATTGTGACCCCCATGGCAATAATGTAAACAGCAAAATCTGTAACAAAGACCTTGTTTGGAGAGGTCATTTCTGCCAACTCTGCAACAGGAATATAGCTGGAAGACATAAATCTTCAGCTGTCAACACACTAAGAGAATTCAATTCAAAGCTTGATCTTAACTAGATAAAGCCTAAAGTTAATAATTATTTTTTTGTTGTTACAGTGGTAGAGTTTTCCAGTGTACATACTTGCCATATCGAGTTGTCTCAAGGCAAAAGGTAGCAATGCTATAAATTAAGGCCAAAGAACAAAGCCAACTAGATAGGTAATTTAATTTCCAATAAAAGCTCTGCACTGTATATTAGAACTTCCAATTTCTCTCAAAAGATGGCTCTACTTAGAAAGATAGCTTTAAAGATTTGGTGTCTACAGTTCCTCAAAGATTTGTAGAACTTATTTTCAGTTTGTAAGTATCAAAAAACTTGGGGTGAGAGTGGGTTGCTTTGTGTTCTGAAAAAGAATCATGACCAGCCTTGCAAGCACACCCTTGGAATATATATCAAGCTGGGCCCTGTTTTGCTTCACACACCACTTTTGAACCTATAATATTGGTAGCAATTCTCTTTGTGTCTTAATTGGAGCAGAAGCCAACAGACTTGGCTTCCACTGCAAGACCAACACAGCTCACTGAGAGTGAACTTCTGTCACCAGTGGAAGAACTGTTTTAAAAAACATTTATTGAGTAAGTGCCATCTCTTCCAATCCCTTTTCACAGCAGAACCACATGTCAAGGAGCAATTCCTGTTATACGAAGCATATTCCATACTAACCTCATAAATCAGAGGTGCATTAGCAACAAGAATATGACACAGCCTCCATACATTGACTTCATCTCGAAAGAAGATAGTGTCTTGGTAGCAACAGATGCCAGAAGCAGACACACCTCTTAACAATGCTCCCAACAAAGCTCATCTCCTTTAGCCAACCACAGAACATGCTGGTTCTTCTTTTTGTACTGCTGAAAACAGCCAAGCCATGAGCAGATTTTGGGATGGGCACTACCCAGACCCTCTTTTCTTCCAGACAATGGCTGCAATGCGGTGCTGTGCAGAGCATGACAAATTGCTACTCGTGCTTCAGAACTGTTTTGCTATTTAAAGCCTCCCTTGCAGTTTACCCAAGTCTGTGTAAGCTTTGTCATGCCACTATTTCTGCACTTTTGGGTACTGTTGTTCTTGCTGTAGTGAGGTTACATCCATACTTCTCCTCGGGAAACAGATTTGACAGTGATGACTAATACCATGTTCAGA